GTTATCGGAAAGGATGGATAATATTCACCATCAAGTGTGTTCAAACTTGAAAACGTCTGCTGATTCGATGAAGTTATCTTATGATAAGAGATTTACTGAAGTCAGGATTGTACTTGGAGACAGGGTGTGGTTGTATAATCCCAGGAAAATCAACGGGGAAGTCTCCTAAGTTGTCATCTCCATGGGAAGGCCCATATGACATAGTGCATTGTCTCTCAGATGTGACTTTCCAGATAAAATGTGGGCGGCGAGGTAAGCCAAAGGTGGAGCATGCCAACAGGCTTTGGCATTATCACGGTCCATGACATTTCAGTTGGGACGAAGTAAACAACAGAACAAATGACGCTGCTGAAGATGTGTCACCTGAAAAAGCCACTGTCAAAGAAGAAACTCTACTCGGTTTTGAGAAGGGAAACAGTGAAGCCCTTGATGAAGTTACTACCACTGATGTGACTGTTACCGATGATAGGACATTTCTTGATGAAGCAGATGAACCCCACACGAAGTAGAAGCCAACGAGATGGAGACCAGTAAGGAAGAAGATACGTCCCGTAAAATTAAGAGATTTTGTTGAATTTTAATGTTGAGTTTGTAAATTCTGTACATTTATTTAAGTTATTGTTAATTGTTTATTGGTTTAATGTAAGTGGCTATTGATCGGGACGAACAAGGAAGGGGCAGTGTTACGACAGCGGTGGTCACGTGACGCTAGTAACACGTCATATTCTCGAAGGTTCGTGAAGTCTCGAGAGGCTACTAGATATGCGGTAATCTTGTATATATAAGCCGCCAAGAAGTGATGGCAAGCAGGTAATGTAATGGGTAATTGACAGTTAAGTCGAGCACGTGAGACGTTCGTTGTGAATTATAGTGTTTGTTATAACGCGACTGTGGAAATTAAGTTTATTGAAATAAAACTGGTTTATTCTTTCTGAATACAACTTTGAAGAAAGGACTTGTATCGCTAAAGTTTCTTCGGAAAGAAATTATACGGAAAATTAACTAACGAACAGAGACGTAACAGTATTATAAGCCTTGAAGCTTACTACTTAACCACCATAAGGGCGTAAAAATGGAATCAAATCATCGTGAATCTAATCTTAATAACAGTTACACGTGAATCCATTATACAGTAATTTTAAGTTCAATTTATATGCAGATTTCAACTTTAACCTTCGTGAACCCAGTCGGTAGCATTTTTTTGTTTTGTTTTGTTTGTTTCATTGTTTACTCAAAAAGCTACAGAAGCCCTATCTGCACATACTCGTCCCTTATGTTGAACCGATAGACTAGAGGGAAAGTAGCTAGTCAATACCATGCACAGGTAATTCGTGGGTTACTCTCACCTGATTTAACAGTTGGATTTGGCCATCACTCTTATAGCACATTCGCAGACCCAATGTGCGGAGCGCATTTTTTCGACAACGGATTAACAGTTCGGGCCCACTAAACATTTGCCCAATGTGCGGAGCGCATTTTTTCGACAACGGATTCACAGTTCAGGCCCACTAAACATTTAGCCACTGCCGACCACTTCAGTGAAACAAATTGGAATTATGAAATTTTGGTTTATGAATATATATATAATGTTTGTAATTATAGAGCAAAGTTACGATAACGTTGCTAAGTTAATTCACTGCTCTTCAGTTTCAGATTTTATATTGTTTTTAATCGTTATAATTAGTTTCGGTTCCTAAAGTTTCTGCATTCACGTTGTAACACAAACATATAGAAAACAAAACAAACAAACTTGTATTAGTAACAAGGTGGCGTCCTCAAACCAAAACATGTGATTAAGGAGGGAGGGTGGCATTTCACTATGGCGGTAGACACGGAAGAGTGGAATCCTGACAAATTAGACGAAAGTGTAATAAGTAAGCATGTTTTATATAAATATTTGCTCTGCTTTAAACACCGAGAAAGTACATGAAAAACATTTAATGTATTGAACAATTGAACTTAAAATTGAAGTTTGTACTCGTGTAAGTTAAGCTTAGGAAATTGAAAGTTAAATTGTGAACTTGTGCATTCGTTTATGAATATATATATTTACAGTTTTTCAAATTTTAAATAAAACATCAAGTTCAAGTGCAAGGTTCAATGACTGCCGTAAGCTATAAATATGATGATTATTGAATGTAATGCACTTTGTCTTGGAGATACTGTTTTAATGTTTACATTTCTTTACAGTTTAAATTTGATGACGAATGTAAGGAATAAACTGTCATGATCATCAATTTTTATTAATTATAATGTTAGTTCTATTTATTGTGTGTATTATTATCAGAACACAACAAAAATAATTTCTATCAAAGTGTATAGCTAACTATACTACTGTACTGATCAATTTGTTATGATAACCCAACTGTAACAATAAAAGGTAATGTATGTGGGTTATCATAGTTTGGATCATGTTTAATATAGGTGGGAACACACACAACAGCATGATTGAAGATGTTGATCTTGGCCTAGAGATGGATAAGTCACTCAAACCATCAAGGCAGTGTTCTGTTGCTAGTAGTAGTAAAGCTAATCAAATTTTAAAGTGTGTTTATACACACATTGATAACAAGTCAAAAGAAATAATTGTCTCTATACAAATCATTTGTTAAACTTCACTTGGGATATTGTACTGTATTCTGTAGAGTATAGGATGAGAGGAAACAAGTTGAAGGTATGGAGAAGACAGGTTTATTTCACTAACAGTAAAAGAGTGATTGGCATATGATTGATTTATCATAAGAAGTAGGAGAAGACTGACACTTTACAAGAGCTTAAGAGGAGGGATCAGTTATTTCCTGAAAAATAAAGGGTTGGTTAAATTATTTTTTTCTTCAAGCGTGGACGTGTAAGGACAGTCTTGAAAGACCAAATGGACCCGTGTTGACCATACATTATTATTAATTACTAATAAGAACTTCTGAGTGAAAGTAAAATATATATTAATGTCAACCATGCTATATCCAACTCTAATTAGGCTTTTTGCATAATACCAGAGCTCTTCAGGCAAGCTGGAGTTATACCATAGATGTAATGGTGGTTACTAATTGACCCTCAGATTACTGTTCATTACTGGTCGGGCTTTATATTTTTATTTGTTATAACACTTAATGTAAAGAACTAACCAAACAAATTGAGGAGATCACCAATTTTCTGTGTAAAATGCATAAGAAACCCAATTAATAATTAGTGGGATTAATTGCCATATTTATGGTATTTTTGTTAAAATCTTTTATGACTTGTTCTTTGGGACCCTGTTATGTGTAACTATCAAATTCATGGACCCACAAGCAATTGTGTCTGTAAATAGTTTAGGAAAGTGTATCTGAAAAAAGCAGATGGGGTCATTGATAATTCTAGGGATGAATAACTCCTTATAGCTTGCAACTGCTTAGGAGGGTGGATTCCAAACTAATACCTCATTTTTACTATGATTCTTGAACTTACCAAATGTCAATGCTGCATAAACTCTCAATAAAGTAAACAAACTATAAGGTATTTAAATGTTATTTTTCTCTATGAAATATTTCCTTATAAGCATAATTAAATAAACATATTTCTGTCTTTGCATCAATATTTTATGTTTTGTTAGTACTATGGCTTTGTAGCTGTTTTGTAAACCTCAGTGGCATTACACTGTTCATGGAGGTAATGGTACAGTTAAAATAATAATCTTACAAGATCAATATCTTCAATAGTATTACTAGTTATATATATATTTTTTCCATAACACAACTTGTTTTTATATTTCGCATTTCAGTAAAATTGTTCCTAGTCTTTTTATACATAGTTTTTATGGCTTCTGTGATCTTGATTAACATATAATTAACATAAAATTTAAAGACAATAAGACATCTCTTCAATGGGTCAAGAAGGGTAACTCCTCTTTCTCAATGATTTTCCTTCCTTCCATTTCCCACCTATATCCTCAGTCTCATACGAATATACTACTATGTTCCATATGTGCTCTTCATTGATATTTTGCTTGCATGACTTCCTTCCATGGTGCCTGTTCCTGTCTCTTTATTCCATGGCTAATATCCTCTGTTCGTGACCTTTCTCCTTCTACCCTTACCAATCGGGTTCAGATTTTAATTCGATTGGCTTATATTTCCTTGTCTCCTTCTTCACGTAATTTGTTTCAGGTGTCTTCTCATCAGATTAGGCACCTTACCTTTTCACTGGCATCTCATCTCTGTTGTCTGTTGGAGGAAATTCTTCAATTGGGCATGTGTACCACACCACATGCGTTCATCTCTCACTATCTGAATTGGATCACTATTTCTTCATCATCAGATTATCTTCTTCCACCTGTAGCCATTCTTCAGACATTGGTGAGACTGTGACCAGATGAGTTCCCTTTTGTATATATATATATATAACACACCTGTTATTTGTCAGGGGCTTTTCCCTTTTTCACTGTATAGATCCTTCCCTGTTGCGAGTGGTGCCTGACCAGGTATCCTTCAACTAGTCAAATCCACACTGTCAGGCCATGATGACTTAATATTTATAAATTTCATGACCACTAAATGCTCAATGTTGAGATGGGGTGTTCCAGAAGATTGCTTGTAGATTTTTCCTCATGTTTTTAATTTGCATCATTAATATGCCCCTTTGAGACTGTACTCACCCATGGACTTCATGGGTAAAGCAAAAAGGGATAGCTGCCCATCTCTGCCATTCCTTAGATTGAATAAATTAGGTATGGTCTGCTTTTCAAATTAGGGTTTTCGTGGTCACCCATTCCACTGTCTCCGGTGTTGACATTTCTCTGGACTCTCCACTTTTTCTTCCAGTGGAGTAAGGGAGTCCTTACCACTTTCCAGTTCCAAGCCACGGGGGTGGTGGAACATGGAGGTATCTTCCTGAATGTAATAGTGATATATGATACAAATGTTAAAACCATTCAGTTGAGAGTAGGGTGTCAGTGTTCTGTTGATGTTTATGATAAAAGGTCCTCCAATCTGACCCTCCATATCTAAACTAGTTTATACAAGGGGATGTTGTAGCTTTGGAGTGAGCCATCAAAATTGCAGTTGCACCCCTTCGATTGGGATCTTTCATCCTATCTCCACATGGATGTCTGTTCCCAGTGGCTGGGTTTTGGATTCAGAGCTGGACCAGTCAACATAAGTCATCACACAGATTACAGGTGTCTCTGTTCCCTCACTGAATTGTACTCTTGTTCACTACTACCGTGTTGAGAGTCACAGTGGAGGAACATGAATATTACTATAGTTCTTCCTCTTACACTAGCCCTCGAAGATTTTAATATACCAGAGATGTTAATGTGCTGGGGGTGGTTCCTTTTTGATTGATTTAAGTGGGCTATTTCAATATATGGGGACATCTTTAATTTTCTCACATTGCTATCATGTGCCCTATTCACAGAGGTGGGTATGATATATCCCTCTGGTCTGCTGAACTTGAGGTGAAGACAGTATGATCCTCTTTCCTACCTCTACATGGATGTTGGTTCCCAGTGGCTGGGTTTTGGATGCAGTTGACTTGCCATGTACGGTTCCTCATGCCCTATCCACTCTACAATTTGGAGCACTTCCTTTTCCCTCTCACCCACATTATGGTCATCTAAGGAATTGATTCCCAATTTGCCCCTGAAGAAGAAAGTGCTCGGGTTAATAGGTTTTTATTCATTTCTATCAAGACTTCTTGAACCTACATGTTTTTCTAACATCAAGAATAAGGAATTGAGATTCAGAATTGAGTTGGTCGTATCCCTATCCAACCATTATTCTCTTCCTTTTGGATGTGCTCCTCCCATTTTATGCCCATGTCTATATCATTTATTTCCACACTAGGCAAATAGTATACCTGGTACAGAAGTGGAGTGGTCTCCTATGTATGTTTCTCTAATGCAAGGATCTCCTCTTTTAGAGGGTTCTTTGGTCACTTTTGAAGAATTCTTTTTTCATTCCCTCGCACCAGTCCTTCCACCTACTCATTGTGGGATTCTAGCTATTTATGTGAGCGGAGGTAATGTACGGTATCGGAAGTTATAATTTTTCTATTCTGAAAATGTATTTTTGATAGGTACTTACCTCCTCTCACACTTCCCACCCCTCCTCCCCACTGAAAATTGGTGTTTCCATTTTCTGCCAAAACCGAGATGATAGTTCAGTAGAATCGAATAGAGGGAGTCACATGCATCAGAAGGGTGTGTTGCACTCTTATTAGTGGAGGTTTGTTGCATGATGATTTACGTACAAGATGCACGTACGTATATTTTGCATAGATGCTGCTTAATTTTATAAGGTGGTGGCAATTATCTTGGGTAATTTGTACTGCATTATAGTTTGTGACATAGTTATTTGCAGTTGTAACTTGTATTGTGGTTGTGAAAAAATAGTGTTTTTATGAAGTAATTACTAAAAATAATTAAAAACATTCTAATATGGCATTTGAAAAAAATATTCAGTGTTTGATGTACAGATCATTTCAAATATACTCAAAATACTTAGAATTTTAAGGTTTTACATTTTATATGGAAGGCTGGTGTTGGATTCTCCTTGTCTCTCATGATATGTAATTACAGTAAATAACTGTAAGTTTAGCATTTTATTCATTGTGATCTAAATGTATGTGCTTTCATCATGAGGATTTAAATTTTTAGGTTAGTTTTGCATTTTATAAGCAAAACTGGTATTGGATTCTCCTTCTGTGTAATTAGAATAAACAACTATACAGGTTTGTTTGTAAGTTTTGTATTTTATTCACTTGTGAGCTACACATCTGTACTTTCACTTGCATGATACCCTATTTATATGTAAAAATAGACCAAATTTCAATAATTCTCTGAAAACTTTTAGAGGTAGATATTTACTCCTTTCAATTCATCCAATGAAAAGGAGGATCTACCCTGTACCTTCTGAAAGAACTGTTACCGAGTTTCATAAATGATGATATCCTATACATATTCATAATGTTACCGTTTCTGGATTTATCATTTGAAGTTTGTCAGAATGGAGATTTGAAGGCATTGGATAGGGGAGTGAAGCATCCCACCTTCCAATTAAATTGTTGGGTCTTCCTGATTGATCCTTATTGGCCAGCTCAGCCTTGGTTTCTATACAACTGCTCCTCTCTCCTCTTGTCCCTCTTCCACTTTCTCCCTACCTTGTGGAACACCCGATCTCAATGGTGAGCATGCGCAGTCGTGGAAGATAAAGCGCGAGTCAACATGGCTGGACAATGCAGATTTCGAGTTAAAGAATACCTATTCAGGCACCACTCGCCCTAGAGCGGGATCCATGGGATAAATAAACAGAGAAAGAGCACCTGAAAAGAAAGGAAAGTATGAATAAAAACTTACCAGTTAGAGTCGCCACAGTTAGAGAACGGCCACAGGTGGTAGACGAAGCCCTGATGAAGAGGAAACAGCAATATGATGGAGATAGTATGAGATGAACTTACTGGGTGTAGTCCACATGCCAGACTGCAGAATCTCCTCCATTGGACTATGAAGATGAGAAGCAAGGGAAGAAGTGAAGTGTCAGATCTGATGGAAGATGGACGGATGAACCAGCCACATTGTTACCCTCCTTTCTTCAAGTGGAGTATGGCAGTCCTTACCACTTTCCAGTTCCAAGCTGCTGGGGTGGTTGACCATGGAGGCATCCTGCTGAATGAGTTGCACACAATAACCATTCAGTTATAGAGTAGGGCAGTGGTGTTCTGTGGGTGTAGATGATGTGATATCATCCTATTTGTGATAACCAATGACAACAGAGTGAGACGTCAGAATGCAGCTCACCCCTTCAATTGGGAGCCCTCATCCTACACTCGTGTATATGTTGGTACCTCACAGGCAAGTTTTGGATTTAGAGTGAAACGATCAACATAAGTCTTCACACAGGTTTCGAGTTGTCTATCTTCCTCCCTCGATTTCCTCTGTCTGTGTTGTGGGTCACAGCAGTGGTACATGGGATTGTTCCAGTTCTGTCCTTGACTATCCTTTGTCCTCTCTTTTTACGGGGATGTTATTGCCATTTGAATGATCCCAGGCTGTTTCATGGTTGGGGGAATTGATTGAATGCGATAGACATCCTTTGGATACCAAATGTCAGAGCAAATCCTCATTACATACCTGGGAATCAGAGTCGTTCTCAATCCCCTGGTTCTTGGGTTTTGAGGTGAAGATGGTATGATCCTCATCCTACCTTCACACTGGGAGGTTTTGGATGTAGTTGACATTATGAATACGGTCCGCTGTGCCCTAGCCACTTTACACCTATGGGGTGCATCCTTTGTTTACCCACTTTTCTCATTGTGGGATTGAGTTACAATATATTTCTATGGTAAGGATCACTTTCCTGCCACATTCTCTCCCACTCGGTTGTGCTCCTCTCATTTTCTGCCCTTATATCGTACAAATTCCATCGTTAAGTGAAGAGTATACCTGTCTAAGAAGTGGTGCGGTTCCCCTCTTCGAATCTGAATCTCTCATTTCCAAGGGTATCCTTCAGACATTTTTGGGAGGTACTTCTGTCGTACCCTCACATCAGTCACTCCTCCTTATCAATGTGAGATTCTAGCTAATCGTGTGAGAGGAGGTAAGTACCATATTGGAAATTATAATTTTCCTATACTGAAAATGTATTTGATATGATACTTCCCTCTCCTCACACTTCCCACCCTTCTTCCCCACATTTCTCTGATGCTGACATCTGCCAAACTTTAAAGTGATAGTTTGGTAGAGGAGTGTTGAGGGAGTCATATGTGTATGTCATGCTCCTATTGATGAGTAGGTGATGCATGATGATTTGGATGAGAGACATGTTGGAATCTTGAAATTCCAATAGGGGGGAGCGGAAGGCTTGTGGCATGCATAGAGAACAAGTTTGCATATAGAGGGCAGCACTGAAGGAGAATATCTAATCTTGTGAGAGGAGGTAAGTACCTATCGGAAATACATTTTCAGTATAGGAAAATTATAACTTTTGTCATCTTTCAGAGATAGTTGGGCAGGTTCAATTGAGAAAGTATGGAGACTTCATTCAAGAATATGCCTCCCAGCTCCAAGGAATTGAACATGCTCTGGATGAAACTCTTAATGAATCATGGGATATGACCTTTGATCCAGTGTCTCTTCAGGTCAGTGTATGAATTGATGCAACATGATGTAGCATTAAACTGAATAACATTGTATGAAAAGACGGGTGTAATTTTTTACATTTACTGCAGCTGTCAAGTCAAACATGTAAGTTAGGAGTTGTTTATTTTACTTATTTTGTTTTTAACTAGTAATTTCTTGTGGTATCGGCACTGTTACTGCCTCTAAGAATTTGATGATGCTGAAGAGCTTAAAAAAGAGTGATATTTGTATCTGATGATAATCTTTTATTGCTTTTAAAGCTATTATTTTGCAGTCTGTTAAATATAATGTTTTGTCTTAAAGTTTCAGTGTTTTGATAAGAAATAAACTTTTGACTAACAGGGATCAGTTCAATTTCACATTTTGTTTATTTTCAACAATAGCAGAAATGTAGTGTTTAAAATTATTGTAGTGCATAATGCCTTATACTAGTAAAACATGATCTATAGGTCACTGGTGATTTGAGTGATGTTACTTCCCAGCAAGAGTGGTAATAATTTTTCATAAAGCCTTCTTTACAAGCCTTGTACAATTATTTCACAAAAATGTATAAAATTGCTGGTCAACTTTAAGAATTTATTGCAAAAATAAAAATTGTTCAGCAGTTTTTTATGCATAAAATTGCTTAAACACTAAATTGTAAATAGCAGTTATGTAAAATTGCACATATATCAATAGAAAAACTTCAGTAATAAAATATATACCATATTTAGAAATTTTGGTTCATTAGACTTAAAATTAACTTGATTAAGTTTGCAGACTTAGCTCAGTTCATAATGTAAGCCTAAGCATGTACATTAATGATATATCTTACCACTGTTTTTTTTTTTTTTTACATTACTATGTAGTAATCTGTGTATGCTTTCTACACTTAACCTGTGGTTCATTGTAGTCTTCTGTATATACATTTTAAAATAGTTAGTTATTATTGAAATATATAACACATATTAAACATAATTTTAATTATAAGTGTTTTCACTAAAACATTTCCACTAACATTTTTACATGAGAATATACTGACCAAAAACTAAAATTTGGAAAATTTCATCTGCATTTTTCAGAATTGATTGATAATTTGGCGAATATGAATCATCTTTTCAAACTCTAGAGATATGACTTACGATTTAGATTGACCTGTATTTAAAATCAAATACTGAAATGCTTCGTAAGGTCTAAAATTGATTATAAGTATAAAGTAATGGCTAAACTTTGTGTATAGTCATCTAAAAAAAATGTGAAACACAAATAAAGTGTAGGCAGTTAAATTTTGAACTTTAGCAATATCATCTTGAAATTATTGACTTTTGAGCTCTTTGCTTTAATTCTCTTAAGACATTATGGTATTATTTGTTTGTTTTTTTGTATTTTCTTTTCACCCTAGCTTAGTTTTGTCAGCTTAATCTAATATAGTGTAAAAGTAGTTGTTAGTCAGTATGTGTTTTTCTTCCTAACATCACCATCTCATAAAATTAAAGTTTTTGAATTATTATGTGATTGTTTGTTATGAAATTATTAATAAAAAAATTAAATTAAAAGTACATGCTTTTTTTTTCTCATTAGTTTATAACGAAGCAGATACTGATGTTACATAACCAAGCATCTCTTATTTGTGAAAGCTATAACTTTATTTACTACTATTCTGTAAAATAGGTTTTCTTAAACTCAACTTTAGAATCTAAATAATTCTTCATTGTTACCATACATGACTGAAGATAAAAAGAAAAAACGTAATAAACATATTTTTTCTTTCCCCTCATTTTAACATGTTTTGGTGTGGATTCTTTCTTGATAGTTCCTTCCTTATGAAAGAACTACTCTTCTAGAACTTGTATCCACAGACAACAAAATCCTGAACAAAGTAATTACTGTATTTGCTCATTTGTGTTGTGAAATCAAGGAGCTGTGTCATGAAGCAAGATCAAAGTTTTTTAATTCTCTACTTTTTTATGGAGAAGGAGGTTAGTAAACTATTTGATTTAAGTTTTATAGATGTGAGAAATTTTTTTTTATTACTAGAAATATTGACATGTTATTTTAAAAAATTCTTAAACTGTTGTTTATTATTTCTAATCCATTTACATAATATCCAAGGGTTAATGTAACTTGAATAATTGAGCATCCTCTGTCTCACTGTGATCGACTTGTGATGACTTGAATGTGCCTAATGAAAAGACGCATCAACTGCCCTTTCTAACAGGTGACCAATGAAAAACATAGAGCTGTAGATCTTGTGCAATCACAATATCTTGTGTCAATTTATGATATTATTATTTTTAAATTCTATGTTGAAGAACTTATTCAATTTTAAGAAAGAAAATATAATCAAATAATGGCTATGAAATCTATATTAGATAACAACAATATTTTCAGTGTTTTATCAACAGGACATGGGAAGACAAAAATTCATGCTTGTTTGTCCATGATTTTACCCATAGAGCATTGTGGCTATTTATTCCAGTTTGATACATTTTTACACTGGTTATACTTAGGTGTTAATTTAGTGATCAGATGTAGTTAGAACATAACAACTGAATTAATCAAGTTAAGAATTAACCTAGTTTTGAGACAGTGTTTTTCTGCCTTATCCATTATTTTTGACAATTTGGTTTTGCCTATTTATTATTTTGTATTCTATTTACCAACAGTTTCTGTCCTTTTCTTAATTTTTAAACTTTTCACTATAGTGTCAGGTTTCAGAGGACTTGACTTGATATTACATGAACATCTTTTAAGGCCAAATTTATGCTGTTAATGAAAATATGTGATTTTATTATGTAATTAGTCTTTAAACACGAAGCATTTCAAATCTTGAATTAACTCCAAACAAGAAAAAATGCAGCAAAACATAAAGTTTATGCACAATAATAACTTAATTCAATGACATAGAAAAAAGCTAAATATTCTATTATCTAATTGAACCAGGCATGACCCAGTGGTTACCATGCAGAGCTGCAGATCAGAAGGTCCAATGTTTAATATGCTGCTGTATTGCTCTGCATTTTCATTGTGGGAGTGTTATAATTGTGATTGTCAATCCCACAATTGATTCAATAGTAGCTGTGTATTAGATGACATATATTTCTAATTGGTTATCCTCCCTCTGGTTAGCAATCCTAAATTAGAGTTATCTATGCCTAAATTCTAAGGTTTTCTGTCCTAGTTGCTGAGCCCATGTATCATAAGCTATGCCATTCATACTGAAAATATCAGTACTGTCTGCCTACATGTTCAGGTTGAAAGTACCAATATTATTTCTCCATCTGTTTATTTTAGAGCCATCTGGTGGACTTCAGGAAGGAGATGCTCAGGTTTACATTGGACGTATGATATCAGTAATACAGGTAAACAACATTGCATCTAATATTGTTTTATAAACCAGTTCTCTATCAACTCACTAGACACAAGTGAGACTCTAGTTAGTGAAACGTAAGATTTTATATGAAATTTTGCTCTTATCAAAACTTGCTTAGTATCTGAAATTGTTAATTTCATGTGTTTTGCCAATTTTTGTGGGAAAATCTTAATAGATACATTTCAAATTGTAGTCAAATTGAAACAACTTTAATTACAAGTTCTCACAGGTTTTTCACAGAGCTTAAATGATACATCACAAAGTTTAGTAAAATAGAGACAATGATATTTAAAATCTGATTACACTATCCTTTCATAACTGATGTAACTAATATTTAATTCAGTGTACATTGTACTTCTCATTGGAATTGAATCTAAGCTCTTTGTTTTTTCCATTTAAAAATAGCTATAACCAACTGAGAAAGTATATCATAATGCTCGAATGAAATATTTGTTCAAAAATGAACTTCAGATTTCTAGTAGAAGGTGAACAGATCAAAAACTATGTCATATTCTTATACAGAAGCTTTAAAGTATTGTTAAAGTGATAGTTTTGACAAAATGACACATGCCAAAATGTTATCATAATCAACATTAAACATATGAGAAAAAAAATCAGAATGATGCTACATACTTTTTGAGCAAGAAACTCATAATAGTGTATGTGAAAATGTTTTTCTTTTGTTATTTTTGAATTAATAACATAATTTTTCTAAAATTAGCTAAGAACTTAAGGTTTAAAATTTTTTTTGACAGAGTAATGATGAATAATATGTAATTGTTGTTTGTTAAATTACAGTATGCATTTTTAAAAGAACATTTTCTTGTATTTTGTATATTATTGTGTGAGGTAGTTATCAGATTTATGCAACATAGTACACTTAAAATTAGCTCTCTCTTTCATCATCCCTTAACTTTGTTTGTCTTGGTGATAGAAACAAGTAATGAGATTTATTGATTAGTAATTTGACTAATTGTTTAAAGTGGGAAGTAAATTGTTTCATCCTTTAGACGTGTTACTTATAAATGTTATATGCCTTTATCTTCTTGATTTACTGTTTGCTCATAAAACTAAGAGAAACAACTGTAAAATAATTTGTTCAGTCATTATCCTTTTTCTTTTTGACAAGGAATTATCCTGCTTTATAAATCGATGCTACCTAGTTACCAAGAATTTAATACATCAGTTGTCATCATTGTATTGTGGAAATAAAAATGGTCCAACAGTTATTGATGTGACAGATGTTCACTTCCAGGTGAGATTTTTTTTACTTGTAATCTCATAAATTGTGTGTTCTTGGTCATGCATTGAAATGTTTTTACAACTATTTTGCATATCTATAGGATTATAAATTGAATAGGATAATTCACAAAACTTTAAGACAACATGAATCATTTGTTGCCAGAATAGTTAAGATAATTATATAAGCATTCATAATTTTGCAAAAAAAGAATGTTAACCTTAACCTATTTTTTTAGCTTAACTCTTTCATTGCCATGGTAGGGTGGTCTTTATCCAGGAGGTAAAAAATCGAGATTAGTACTTTCTTTTGGGGCACCCCATAATTTTATGAGGTTTGACCAGAAACTATAGTATACAAAATTTTCAGGGAATTAAACCATGTTAAGGGATTGCTACAAGCCCTTGAAGTTTCTCCCCCTGTGATGTTGTGTTGTACAGTGTGCATCACACTTAAAATTAGCTACTCAAACAAACAAAAACTATATACTTGATGCAAATCTCTCTTAAAACATTCGAGGAAAAGGAAGAAAAAACACATTTTTTACAAACTAATTTACTATAGAACCATAGAAAAATGAATTGCTCAAAGCTACTTGTAACTTTGCATATTACAGAATATAACAACATTCACTTTTACAGCATTTATGATGGTACTGGTCTTTACATCAAGGAATTTCTTTCTATACTCCTTGACCACCAAAAGAAGATAATATCTTTGGTCCTGCTTGTGTATAGTGTGAAGCCAGCTATATTCTTCCATGAGGGTCACAATGCATTCTTTGATTTCATTTATGTCCTGGAGCTGCTTGCATGTTTCTTTGCCCTTCAAGAACCTTCCATCTTGCTTCCATTGGTCATGATCCTTGGAGAGGAAGGAGTCTGATTTGATGCCAATGATTTTGAAAAACTGGAGACTGTTTCCCATGATGAAGTTTTCCAGGGCTTCAGCCTCTGTCCCCAAGTCCCTCTTCTTGACAATTGCTCTGTTCTGCCAATCCTCATTTTATGGTTTTCGAGAGCTTAGACCATACGATGCTTGGTTGTCAAAGACACATTGTCATCAAAGAAGGAGAGGGAGATGATCTCTTATGATAAATACCAGAGGTGTCAAGTGAACTTCTTCATTGTAATGTTGGCCATCTGTGGATCCAAGGTCTTGTAGACTTGAAGAACCTGGATGAGCTGTAGGTCATTCTTTGAAGTGGACAATGAGAGAGGGTGTGGTACCATGCTTTGATGTAAATGGTGGATATGAATATGCAAATTATTCACATTACTGCCTTCTCTCTGACCATGAGGAACATCAAGACTTTGAGAGCATAGATGGATTTTGCCATCCACCTGATGCAATGCATTGCTCCTGGAGCCATTGACCAAACTCCTCAAAGCAACATTCCTTCAAGAAATGTTGTTACTAACTCTAAGATTTCTGTATATTCTTCTCTGAGTTGCTGAGTCCAGAGTACAGCAGTGCATCAAGAGAGCATGAGAACAGCTCCTGTAGAGGCTCTACCTTCCTCTTCTCCCTGTCCTGACTCTTTTCAGTGGTGATGGTTCTTCAGAACCATCTTCTCTTAGTGAACTTGCACCAGCTACATCCTGATCTGTCTACAGGATAGAATCAAGAAGAGCTGGTTCCATACTTTTTGGCCATTGACTTTTATGAAGAACTTCTGTCAGAGGCACTGCAAGAGAATAATCGACTTCTTCAACTTCAGATGCCTCTGACAGGCTTCCTCCTTCAAAAGAAAATGACATATTTAGGAGGAACTCAATTTCCTCCTGTGTCAAGACCTTCTTCTTCCTCAGTTTTTTTGTTTTTTCTTTAAGTTCAGGTTCTATTTCTAGAAGGAAAAAATATAAGGTTTAATACCCATTTTCTATTGTGTATCATTACATGTATGTTACACATTGTATATCATCATCCTTCTATTGTTTAGAAATTCTATATATGCTATAAATGATGATTACTTACTTGTAGGTAATACTTTACGAAAACCTGGTAGCACTTGCAGTTTGCTGGTGAATAATTGGTTTCTCAAGTTACAGTCAAGAAGGCTAAGCCAAGAATACTATCCCAACCAAAATGAGCCATATTTATATTACTGGAAACTACACATGCACGTAAGCATGGTAATATAGGAAACAGGATGACCATAAGCATTTACACATATTTACACCTATACCACCGCTAAATCCCGACCACCAAGTAAGATAACTAGCCAGTTTATTGGATAAGATACATCTTCATATTTTGTACAGAGCTGCATCATAAATATTTTCTCTCACTTTTATAAAGTACTTTAGACAATTATTATTGCATCCACTGTATTGTAAAGAAACCGGCAAATTTTATCCCACTGTGTTATCAGAGTAGTAATCCAAATAGTTTCTGTAGGATACTTCTGCTTTTGGACTTATTGGATTGGCCGGGACTTTATACAAAGCCGTAAACATTTTATAATACTTTAGACAATTGTAATTGTAACCATTTTACTGTCAACAAGTTGATATATCTTTTCCCACTTTGTTTTCAAAGCAGGAAAAATTCTGGGAATTGCTCTGAATGAACTTATTTGATATTAATGGTGTCAAAGTATGGTAACACATAAACACGAATGGTGATTCATTGCTTTATATTTGGCAGGTTTCTACTTCAGCCGCTAACAGTAGAATAACAATAGGAAATAGGTGTAGAAAGATTAGAAGAAACTCAGAGGAGATTTACTTGGAACTTTACTGTCTGTACTGAAAAGAACAGAGTACTATTCAGTTTGTTTCTTCTAGTTTCTAACTCATCTACTAGCAATAAAATAACTACAGAAAATAAGTGTGAAAAGGTGAGAGTGTAAACTCTGACCATAAGTACCTTGAAATTTTGTAATCACTACTAACAATACTATAATTTTATTTTGCAACCTTTATTTTTGTTATACTTTGATTACTTACCTATAACCTTGATAAATAAATATAATGTTACAGTACCAAAAATAACAAATAAAACATAAAGCTTTACTGAAAATAAAAATGTTTGATATTTAATTACAAAGTTTTTTATTTTTCATTTGTTTTAACTGTCTGTTATTATAAAAGTAACTAAAATGATAAAAATAGAAAGTTGTTAGGTAAGATAATGAAAAAAAATTAATAAAAAATCATTCATGGTGTATATGCGCCAAAAACTTCTGCATTACGCTGTTTGATACGGTCATGTTGATGCATGTGTGTCATGTAATTTTCAACTTTTCTTAGGGTATTTTTAGTCAGACACGGTTCAAAGGTCAATAAAACAAAAATTAATAAATAGAAATAGGTTTATACTGTTAAGAGATTTAAGCTATTTAGAATGAACATTTGTGGTTTCTTATTACAATTTGCAGTTATTCTAGAACAAAAAAGGTTATTTAGATTTATTTCCTAATTTTTATGATGGTTTGAGGTTGGTCAAATCAATCAACACCATGTAGAGTTAATATTGATAAAATAACAGATTGAAC